GAGTATATTGGCAAATAATTTAATTTTTTTTATTATATACTTTTTATATACCACTTATTATTACATAAATAGGTAATGATAAATTAGTAATTTGACTGAAAATACAAGCATACTATTCTATCATCCAAACAAAAATATGTTATTAACATACATTAATATACAATAATTCAAATATAAAAAATTTTTGTCATCCTCATCCTATGTTATTCTCATCTAATTACTGTCATTACTATACATTAATTAACCATAATTAAAATTTTCAAACAAGATGTTAGAAAAAATTCTATCTAGCATTGCCATATACGAAAGTGATTCAATGAAAAAGTAATTTTTTTTTCATAAGAGCTATTAATATTTTTTAAGTGTATAAATACCAATTCAATCACGGACATTCTGCAATTAAATATATAGTAAGTGGAGAGGACTAAATTCAACCGTTATATTTGCATAGAATATTTTTCTTTTAGACATGATCTGTCAAATGGGATTCAGCATCTGTGTCTGGGCACCTCCATAGTCATGATTCCCTACTTGAGGATTATTTCTAGACCTGGTTTGTCAAGCGGGACAAGTTTATTTGTGCCCTCAGCCATCATTTCCCATTTGCTGTAGCTAGTAAATTTAGTTAATTTTTTTAGTTTCCTTTTTCCAGATTAAGCTGAAGACTTAAGAGAGTAGCTTGCAAAAAGGGGTCCGAACCAGGGGTTCTGCACCTCACCCGTAGGGAAAAGAAGACCTATGAATCCTATTTGGATAGTGAATTTTCTTTCTTGGGTAATAAATGAATTCTGTGTTTATTTTGGCTTTACAGTGGGAAATATGATTGTGTCATCGGATCCTAGGGAACCAATCTCCTGAGGCCTCATGTGCTGAATGAAGTTGCCACTGAGGATTAGTAATTTTGTAATAGGGCTTTTACTTACATTTGGGCCATAACTTTTAGGCACACCAAATCAAATCATAGCATACATGTTTGATATGTATAAATATTCACAGTTTTAGTTATTTGAAGCATGATAGAGATGAAAAGGAATAATGATTTCGAGTAGCATAACATCTCACTAGCTATTGAGTAGCACTGCCACTGAGGATTGTTTGTAATAGGGCTTCTTAGTTTCATTTGGGCCATAACTTTTAGATACGCCAGATCATAGTACAGTGCAGTTGTTTGAAGTATAAATATTCACAATATAGTTACAAGATCAAGCACAGAGTTAGGATACAAAACATTGGCAGAAGGGGTATATGAGATACTATGGTTGAAGAGACTCTTGGAAGATCTAAGGGTCAAGTGGGATGGCTCAATGCACCTTTACTGTGACAACAATGAAGGCTTGCCCACAATCCTGTACCGTGTGACAGAGCAAAACACATTAAAATTGATAGTCATTTATCAAAAAGAAGCTAGACAGTAGCCTGATATGTACTTCCTCTGTACCCAACAAGTTACAGCTTGTAGAACTATGGACTAAAGGCTTGAATAGTCCAACATTCCATGATACTTACTCCTTGTGTGGTCACCAAGTTACAACTTGCAGACGTGTTGACTAAATACTTGTGTAGTCCAACATCGCAGACTATCATTACCAAAATATACTTAATGTATAAATAAGGTTAAACTATATTAAAGAGTATTAAAGTAAAATATACCTTTTATGATTAATTGTAGTTTTCCTTGTTCTTGTCTCTAGAACTTGTAGATATAGGAACATATTATTCAATGAGAATACAACACAATTATTCATGAAAAGATGTATTTTGTTAGGCTTTCAGGTAGTATCAAGACTTAACATCAAACTTGCCAAGTCTGTGTTGGTGAGACTAGGTGATGGGAGAGATGCAAGCAATTTGGCTAGTATTCTGATATGTAAATGTGTAGAGTTGTTTATCAAATATTTGGGATTGCTGTTGGGAACCAAATATAAGGAAGTCTCATATCAGAATCTAATGTTTGCACATTTTGAATAGTGGTTGGCTGGATAGAAGAGAAACTTTCTACCAAAGGGGAGAGACTTACTCTCATCAGAAGCATAATGGCCAACGTACCTATTTATTATGTGTCTCTGATGATGATCCCTGAGAGTTTGGCCAAGAGGCTGGAGTCCACACAGTACAGTTCTTATGGGGAGACTTCGAGGAGAAGAGGAGATACTATTTTGTGGCTTGGAACGAGGTCAAGAAGTAAACTCAACTTGGTGGATTGGGTGTGAGATCATTGTTTTAGGTTAATAGAGCTCTCTAGGGGAAATAGCTTTCGAGATTCATGAACAAAGATGGTAGTCTTGGGTGGATGGTGATTAATGCGAATTTTGGTACTGTGGACTGGGGGTGGTTCACTAAAAAGGGGTCTAGAACCCATGATATTGGGATATAGAAAAAGATTTGCATGGATAAAAGGAAATTCCAAGACTGCATCAAATTGAGGGTTGGCCACAAGGTCAGTTTATGACAATGGCGCGTGGTCGAAAGGTGGTACTCTCAGAGTTTAGTTTCCTCAGGTTTATGCTATTGCTCAGTACAAGGATGCAGTGTTCCAGGACTCCTATGTTGGCAATATGGAATGGGGAGTGTTTTGCAGACGTCACTAGGAATCTAAATAATTGTGAAGTTATAGAGTGCAAAGACTTACTCCTTGCCGTTGCTAGGGTAAGGTCTTATGGATAAAAGAGCAACCCCTTTGGAGCCTCAATACTAGGTGGATTTTCTTTGTTAGATCCTTCTACAACCACTTTATCCATATTGCCATTCAAGCAAATTTAGAAGGTTAATCTATTGCCCCCAAATTGCCTTTTTTTTTTGCATGGAAGGCAGTCAAAGGGTAGATTCTAACTCTGTACAAGCGGATTAGGAGGGGAAGGATTCTGGTTAATAGTTGTTATTTATGCAAAAGGGATACATAGTCGTGCAACCATATTCTATTGTGATATCCCTTTATCTATAGACTTTGGGCCCTTATTTATGGCATTTTCGGCATTTAATTGAGTGATGACTGGCTCTATGAAGGACATTTGAGCGTGGAAAGGAATCAAATGGTGTGAAGAAGCACATCGACCTTATCTCCCTTGCCACATTTTGGGTGGTCTGGAAGGGAAAAAATATGAGAGCTTTTGAGGGCAAGGAAATGGGTTTCCATAAGGTTAAAGATAGATAGTTCCAGAACCTAGGTTTTTTTATTAAGGGTCATCCTCTTTACTCCTCTTAGGATCTTGGGACCTTTTTGACATTTTAATTAATATGTAAATACTTTGTATATGTGTTGACATCCTTTGGTGCCTGTAAATGAATCTTATTATACTTTCTATTTCGAAAAAAAATTATCAGTTGTTTGTTTATACATGTTGCATGATTAATCTGATATGCCTGTGTAGATATACCTCACACAAAAATATTTTCTTTCCCCCTTTCCTTTATTACTATTGATTTTTTTGCCAATTTCTATGCAGGTTGGACCAGAAATATGTTTGTTGAAAACGCATGTTGACATATTGCCTGATTTCACTCCAGATTTTGGTTCAAAACTTCGCTCTGTATGACTCCAACCTCAATTACCTTCTTATTTTTTTTATCAGAAAATTTGTTATTTATACTTACATTATTGCATTCTAAAATATGTGCCATAAAATTTATTTATTTTGTTTCATTTGGTGCTGTTAACACTACATTGAGAATCTAGGGACTGACAAATTGATAATTACATGGAGTTTCCAATTTAAAGGGCTTGTTTACATAAACTGAAGAGGTTTACTTCAAGAAGGTTTTTGACCGTGTTTCTATTACACATATGCATTAAGAAGGTTTTTGACTATGTGCATTGTGCTTATTGATGGTTCCAATTTCCGATATGTCCCCAGTTGAAAATAGCCATTTCCATGGCATCTAGCAATTACGTGCATGTTCCATTTCTCAGTGAAGATATTAATTTCATGAATATGATATGTACCAAAAATCTAGATTTTTTGTGTTCATGCCATTAAATTCATTTTTCTGCTACCTGCTACTACTCTCTGTTCGCTTTTATTCTCTAGAGAAAATCTTCATCAAATGCAGTTTGGCATCCTTTGCACTTCCAGCTAGTATCTGTATGTTTCACAATGCATCATACTGGGTGTAGGTTATTTTATTTGTCTAGTCATGTGCACGGGGTCAACTGAGGAATTCCTTGTAATTTTTCATGTGTTTCAGTCATAATATTAAGTCCATTTTAGGAGTAGAAGAAGACAAAAAGAGAGATGGTCGGAAATTTTTAGGAAAGTTTCTTTCCATATATTAAAAATTTGAATACAGCAAAAGGATTCATGTAACTAATTTTAAATTGGTGGTAAAAGGGCTTAATTTGGTTTAGTTTGGTTCATATAGTAATGCCAGGCACTATTCAGACAAAGTCCACATGTTTATGGTATGGGACTAGTAGGGATCAGAGGCCCAGCTGTAGTACTGTGGCTCAAAGAACTGCCATTTGTGAAATTTCTTTCTCGTTACTTCATATGCTGATGAAAAGCATGACCATCTCCAAGCTGTAACTTCCCACCATCCGGTGTTATTTCATCTTTCTCCAGTTGAACTACCCGCAATAAATGCATTGCATCTTGATGTTAGTCCTTTATCTTTTAAAGTCTAACTACTTGAAACAAATGATAAATGTGTAGCATATGAATTTGAAAAGATAGTATCCTGGGAATAAAACTCCACTATATTAAGATTTTGATTTGAAGAGAACATATAATCACACTGAACTTAATTGATTTGAGCTGGTTTTATATTGTTGTTTTTACGAGCTTTTGAACATTGTGAGATGGTGGTGTTGTTTTTATATCTGGAAGTGATTCTGCCATAAGTTTTCTTATTTTAAGTTTTCTAACTTATCTCTGTTGTACTTTTTCTAATTTAGATTGCAGATAAGCATAATTTCCTAATATTTGAAGATCGCAAGTTCGCAGACATTGGTAACACTGTCACAATGCAGTATGAAGGGTAAGATATCTTTTCTTCCTTATTTTTTTTTTAAAAAAAAAGATTTCTTTCCTTCCTAGTCCATAGTTCCCTTTCTATAAGTTACCTTGCTTTGCCTGAATGTTATTTCTCCTGTTCTCTAGAGGTATCTTTCACATATTAGATTGGGCTGATATAGTCAATGCTCACATAATTTCTGGCCCTGGAATTGTGGATGGACTGAAATTGAAGGTTGGAATTAATGGTCCACCTCACCTTTCATTTGATGCATGAGAGTTCCTCAGAATCGTTGCTTATTCTTGAGTATTCTGAAATTGTGTTTAGGGTTTGCCACGTGGTAGGGGCCTGTTGTTGCTTGCTGAAATGAGCTCAGCCGGAAACTTTGCCAAGGGAGAGTACACCACCGCAGCTGTGAAAATTGCTGAGGATCATTCTGATTTTGTCATTGGATTCATCTCAGTTAATCCAGCGTCATGGCCAGGGGCACCTGTAAATCCAGCATTTATTCAGGCCACTCCTGGCGTTCAAATGGTAAAGGGGGGCGATGCTCTTGGCCAGCAGTATAACACCCCATACTCTGTAAGTTACCTTCAATATCACGAGTATGGGTTCTACCCTATCAAAATGCACACACTTTGAGAGAAGCTTTATGAAATCCATAATTTTAGTGAGCAAACTGGCTGCATTGTTTCAGAACATAATCCTTGTTTAGCCTGCCAAAAAATTACAAACCTGAGTCCAACTTCAGTCCAGATGATATTCTAGATCCATAAATGGCTCATGTAGTTAGTAGCTACTTCCGTTATTTAATTTGAATTGTCAAATTGACATGCTACATCAACTGAATTTTCTACTAAATGGTCTATGTTTTAGGAGTCAAAATAAATCTTAATTGTGAAATTGGAGAGAGGCCCTTGTCTTTCAATTTCATCATTGTTTTAATGATTTGAAATTGTTGAAAAGTTTTAACAACCATTATGTGAATTCTTCTTTATCAGGTTATTTATGATAGGGGAAGTGATATAATAATTGTGGGCCGTGGAATTATTAAGGCAGAAAATCCTGCAGAGGTGGCTCGCGAATACCGACTTCAAGGATGGGATGCATATCTGGCTAAATGCAAATAATCCTTCTGTTAGTCTTGTTCACAAGGTGCATGCTTAACTTGTTTGTCTAATGGGATTGTCATCTTTGGCCTCATTTTGTTTTACAATAAACTTAGAGAACTGCTGAGTCTTGTTTTTGCACACAAACACTCTTTTCAAGTTTAGCTATATATATATATATTATATATATATATCTGGGTGAGTTTTTTTTTTTCCACTCTTCCTCTTTCTGGGTTGACCAAATGGAGTTGGTGTAGGTCCTCATCATGACTTTCTTTCAAGGGATTGAGATAAGAAATGAACTCACGAGACATTGCATAATTCATCTGTGGTTTCATATTTTTATGTTTAAAATTATTACAAATATGATGTTCATTTAGAAATGAATTTCATGTCAGATTTAAGTGCATTTCAAATTTTATTTAATTCAGTAGAATCTGGAATTGAAACTGGGGAGCAAATTGATTTTACAAAAGATATAGATTTTATTTACATTTTCACATTTTTATTCACATTATGCAAATGAAATATAGATTTGAAAATGAAATCTCTACTTGGAACTTGTGCTTCAAAATGATGGAGTTTGGAGTAAAACAATTGAATTATTTGCATCCTTATGAGTTTGGATGGATATACAGATTAACTTTTGAGTTTTTATGATCTACCAACTAAACCATATCACTCATACTTTCTGCCTTCTCTTGGAGAAACTAATATCATATCCCGACTTTCTTGGACCTTGAATGTCTGACTCCTGCCCATATGGTTCATGCATATCACATTCGAAGAAACAATTTCTATTAATTATCTTATACTGTTTGATAGAAAGCTCTGTTCAGCCAACCATCTCCCACATCTTTCAAGTAACTGAAAGCTCGTGTTGTCAAAGCTCTGTTGCTCTTTCCACTTCTACCATTTCTCGGAGGCTTATTTTTTATGATTGTTGTCGTCTACCTTGGACTTCCTTTTTATGATTTAAATTGACAAAACCTCAAATACAAAATGAAGCACTAAAACAAGGACAATTTTGGCACACCATAGATTGAGAACTCTTGTAATAGAAACTGGGGATTTGGGGTATAGCAAATTTGAAGTTGACTTATCAGAAGCAAGATAGGAAATTTGGCTCAAATCAATCTCTCAAATCTTATAATTGAGAACTTTTGCAGGTAAAGTTAGTAGTTTATATAGTATTAGAGATTGATGGATGTATCTTTTTGGAATCATTTTATTAGGTCATGACATTATTAGTGACGTGAATTTTGAGAATGTCATTGATACTCTTAACTTTTTTGTAAATTTTTTGTACACGGCTGGTAATACCGTTTTAGTATTCTGTTAATATAATACTTCACATTTTATATTTAGAAAAATAATAATTATGTAGAAGAAAATCCCATTGAAGCAGAAGTTAGAAGCCAAATAGATGATATGAGACTGCATCATAATGTGTTTTGGTAGGCTTACTAGGAATGTGAAGGCACAGAGCTTGTATACATCATCAATCACAGCAGCTAGGAGAAAAATGTAAATTTCACCAATCAGATTATATATATATATATATATATATATATATATATATATGTAACATGATTTTTTGATGATGACGAATGAGAATGCATAATTTAACTTGAACCAACATTTTTTATGGAAGGAGTAAAATAGCAATCATCTAATGAAAAAATAATTTTATCTGAATAGTTTTAATTATTAAAAATGCTTGTGCTTTATGGATTTCAGAGCAGTTTCAGTGCTTAGACATGCACTGAAAATAGTTATATAATTATGCACTGAATTATAACTGGAAAAGTAGAACTAAGCTGCAAACCTATATTTTGGGAATAAATTAGTAATTTGCGTTGCAACTGATTATATAAGTTGTGAACTGTACTGAAACTACAAATTTTAGTTTATAACAAATTCTAACATTTTCTATTCCTACCAACTTCGAAGTCATTATATTTAACAAAAAATTAAGCAAGTGATGTCATGGTTAAAAACCATCAAAATCCTCAACACCCTGTTTATATACCCTTGATTTTGAGTACTAAAAAGACCATTACAAAGAGAAAAGAAGTGAGCTCCTGCATCCAAAACTGCTTGATCATTCATGGAAACTTCAATTCTAGGATTAGATGTGACAGAGATGTTGATAAATCAGATTCTCTATTAGATATTCTAGTCCTAGACATAAAACTTGTCTTTCCAGTCATGTGTTGGATTAGCAAAGAGAGTTTGCTTTCTACAAATCCAAGAAACAGATGACCAGAAGACCACAATACTACTTGAACAAATCGATCTACTTGATACCATGGTTAATCGCAAAAAGGAACGAGTTAGAAGGATAATCAAATCACTGTTCTTTCCAGATTCTACCAGTCACCCTAAGTTTTAGTTCTTTCCGATCTCCACCCGAGAAGAAAAGGGCCATATTCCGTTGGATAATGAGACCATCAAAACTATCACGAACTTTGCGATGACTGTCTCTTATGCTCCGAGGCACCCCTTGCCAGATCATCTTTCTCCCATTTCCACCCACTTCAAGACTGTAACTATAGTTCTTCGCTTCATTGTCATCACCCATGAACCGTA